ATTTGTTACCTCTGTTGGCCTTAGTGACTGTACATGACTCAGAACAAATCAGTGATAAAATTTCAAGAAAGATAAAACCATCTGGGGCCTTTGAAAAGGCCATTTGTCATTCTGCAGGGCCATGATGGTGTTTGTTCAAGCAATTCCTTGCTTCCTGGTTAATAGATGTGATACACACTTTACCTCTAGACCAAAGAAAGTCACTGGGGAGAGAGTTTTTACTTTTTAAAGTTGGATACATCTCATAGGAACCAATTACACATGATACATAACAAGCTATTAAATTATTCAGTTTAATTCTTATATTTGCATTCTTGTTACACTTCACTGTCAAGACCATGTTTAAAATTTTGCACTTTATAATTTTGTCTGCATGAGTGTTTGGCTTCTGTGTGTGTCGGTGCACCATGGCTTGCCTTGTGTCTATGGAAGTCAGAAGTGGACAACAGAATCCCTGGAACTGGACTTACGGATGGTTGTGGGCACTGGCCATTGAATCCACTTCCTCTGCAAGAGCCAGTGCTTTTAACCACTGAGCCAGCAGGGTCTCACAACAATATTCTGAAATATCAGTGCTCTTGTTCTAGATATGCAAACTTTTTCTCTTATAAGACACAGACTTATCAAGGCATGCCACACTATGCAATCCTCATGGAATATAGCCACATTTTAAAATATGAAAGTGGGATGTATTAGTTGAAACCATTATGTCTAAGTATCAACTAATTTTTGATCATTGAAAATCAAAGTACAAGAAAAATTACTGTAGCTTTAATTGCAATTGTGGTGTTTTTGATTTGGTTTTGTAGTTAGCATCCATATTCTAGATTTATGACAACTTTGATTATTATTTGTGGGAGGCTTACTTCATCATAATTTAGGGTTTAATGCTTTTTAAACATCAAATATGAGGTCTAATGAAATAAAATGTAAGTAAATTGTAATTTTCACACTTTCTGCTCCTCTTTTCTATGTATAGCCACAGTATAGTTGTTTTAATCATCAGCAAAATGACATCACACTGCCATTACTCAGATTGTGTTAGTTTACCATATGCTGAAACTGACTTTGCACACTTTCAAGGCATGACATTATATTTTCCTTTCTAGACGTTTACTGTAATGCTTGTACCCACAGTTGGCATTTTGACATATTTTTTTGTGAAGTGGACCCAGAATTGAAGTAACATATAGCAGACCAGGTACCAGCGAATCGGGGTGCTCTCTCTCTCTCTCCTTCTCTGTGTGTGTCTGTCTGCTTCTCTCCTTTTCTCCTTTCTGCCATCATTTGCTTTAATATCAGGAGGAAAATGAATGGATCTTGATGAGCAAAATTTTTTGTCAGTGCAGGTTATTTTAATTTGAACATACTTGTAAGTTTTGTTCTTTATGATTTAATAGTGATTTCATTTTGCTTTACATGGGATTGGAGAGACATCAAAATCTTTTAGTCCTTAGGTCTTTGTACTTGAATGGATTAAGAAAATTACCACCAGCAAGCACATCTAGGTATTTTTTGTCAGTTATAAATTAACCTTTACAGAGTAGAATCTAGGTATAAAGGTGGTGAAAAATAGATTTTGAAAATCTGTAAAGAAAAGAATTAGAATTCTGGGAAGCTGTTGCAAAAAGGAACAGCAGGCTGCGTCCCGCCACCCGGCTAGCTTTACTCAAAATAATTACATGGAAACTGTATTCATTTAAACACTGCCTGGCCCGTTAGCTCTAGCCTCTTAATGGCTAATTCTCACATCTTGATTAACCCATTTCTAATAATCTGTGTAGCACCATGATATGGTGGATTACCAGGAAAGATCCTAACCTACATCTGTCTAGGGTTGGAGAATCATGGTCTCTGTTTTTTTTTCTCCCACAATTCTGTTCTCTCTTCCCCGCCTACCTATGTTCTGACCTATCAGGCCAAGCAGTTTTCTTTATTAATTAACCAATGAAAGCAACAGATAGAAAGAAGACCCTCCTACATCATTTCCCCTAATATTATATTCTTCTGGAGTCTTTGATGGAGTTGAAGAATGGTTAGTTATAGTTTTCCTTAGTTATGATAAAAGATAAAATAGATATAAATATTGTAACTGTAAGTTTTGCTTTATAACTGTTTTTGTTATATGTAATTTTGCTATGTTAAAGTTAAAGCCATCACTTTTGTTTAAACAGAAAAAGGGGGAATGATGTAGGAGGGTCTTCTATCTATCTGTTGTTTTACTTTTCTGTTCTTTTTCTTTCTTTCTTTCTTTTTTTTTAAACCACTGAGTAGTACTCTAATGTGTAGATGTGCCACATTTTTTTTTTAATTCTTCGGTTGAGGGGCATCTAGGTTGTTTCCAGCTTCTGGCTATTACAAATGCTGCTGTGAACATAGTTGAACAAATGCCTTTGTAGTATGATTTTTTTGAGTATATGCCCAGGAGAAGTATTGCTGGATCCTGAGGTAGGTTGATTCTCATTTTTATGAGAAATCACCATACTAATTTCCAAAGTGGTTGTACCAGTTTGCATTCCCACCAGCAATGGATGAGTGTTCCCCTTACTCCACATCCTCTCCAGCATAAGCTATCATTGGAGTTTTTGATCTTAGTCATTCTGACAGGTGCAAGATGGTATCTCAGTGTTGTTTTGTTTTGCATTTCCCTGAAGGCTAAGGATGTTGAACATTTCCTTTAGCATCTTTTGACCATTTGAGATTCCTCTGTTGAAAATTCTCTGCTTAGTTCTGCACCCCATTTTTAAATTGATTTTTATGTACCCCATTTTAATTGGGTTATTTAGAATTTTGATGTCTCATTTCTTAAGTTCTTTATACATTTTGGAGATCAGTCCTTTCTCTGATGTGAGGTTGGTGAAGATCTTTTCCCATTCAGTAGGTTGTCTTTTTGTCTTATTTACTGTGTTCTTTGTTTTACATAAGTTTTTCAGTTTCAGGAGGTCCCATTTATTTATTGTTGCTTTCAGTGTCTGTGCTACTGGGGTTATATTTAGGAAGTGGTCTCCTGTGCCCATGCATTGAAAGTTACTTCCCACTTTCTCTTCTATGAGGTTCAGTGTGGTCAAATTTATATTGAAGTCTTTAATCCATTTGAACTTGAGTTTTGTACATAGGGATAGATATGGATATATTTTCATTCTTTTACATATTGACATCTATTTATGCCAGCGCCATTTACTGAAGATACTTTCTTTTTTCCATTGCATAATTTCAGCTTGTTTATAAAGAATCAGGTGTTCACAGGTGTGTGGATTAATATCTGGGTCTTTGATTCGATTCCATTCTGACCAGAGTTTTTAAAATGAGGAACACAAAACTATTCTAGTATGCATATTTTAATAGTTGTACTGGACACTATGGCTAGGGCAACTCTTCCTGTAAAAGACACATTCTCATCTGAACCTATGTCAACAGCATACTCAATAGCAAAGACCAGTAGTTCTCTCTAGCCATATCAGATACATAATAAAAATAGAAATCAGGGACCACTATTTAGTGGTTAATGGACAAAGGAGGGGCTCTTGAGAATCAGGTATATTTTTTTGTCTAAAAATGTGAGGATTGTGTATGGTGTGTAATAGAACCTGACATGATGCAAATATGTGTATAGGGTGAGATAGACAGACAGACAGACAGACAGAGACACAAAGAGAAAAACCTGGGAAATAAAGAACAGGAAAGGCATGTCTGAGATGTTCCTATCTTTTGTCTTTTTCATTTATTATTATCTGAAAATCCTCAAAGTAAAATGAAATATCAATTTTCTTTTTGGATGGCTTTTTAAACAAAGCATCCTTAATCTCACAGATAAATTTAAATATATTATAAAAAAATCATGGTAACGATTCCTTTTAAAGTCACCATGTAGTGTTTCTAATCTTTTGGTGAATTCTTATGATCAGCAGTAGCTCCACTCATTTGCTTGGAAAGTCTGGCTCAGCTGCTTTGCTTACCTGTTTGGGAGAACATTTGGCTCCAGTGCTCTGTGTGTTTTGGGGAGCTTTTGACCCCAGTACTCTGTGTGTTTTGGGAAGTGTTTGATCAGGTGTTCTATCTGAGCATTCCATGTCTTAGCTACTGTTTTGCAATCACGAGGACTTGTGTTCAAACTACATTTCAAAAAGGTAAATTTGTAGATGCAGGTTTATTATCCTGGTGCTTGAGAGGCAGAGTCAGAGGGATTCCTGGGCTTGGGACACATACAGATGCCATGTATACACACACAATTCATTAAACTTGGATTTTCCTTGGAACAAGCTTCAGTGTTCTAATCTAAAATTCCTTTGTTTTAATTGTCCATGTTCTCCCTTAAGTGATAAAATAAAGTTTATAACTGTGTCCTTTCTTTCTTTCTTTCTTTCTTTCTTTCTTTCTTTCTTTCTTCCTTTCTTTCTTTCTTTCTTTCTTTCTTACTTTCCTTCATTCCTTCATTTTTCTTTCTTCTTTTTCTTTCTCTCTCCCTCCCTTCCTTCTTTCTTCTTTTGGTACTGGAGACCCAGGACCTCATGTATATTAGGCAAAAATTCTACCACTGAGTTACAACTCTGGACTTGAACTCACTGTGTAGCATAGGTTGGCCATGAGTTGTTCATCCCTTCTGTCTTAGCTTACCAAGTTCAGGAATTGCATGTGTGAACTATTGTGCCTAGCACCTACTCATTTTTCTCAATAAGTTTTTTTTTAATGTGTGAAGAAATAACCTTGCTTGTCAAAATTCTTTCCACTTACATTCAGGAGAAATAAAAGTAACATTTTGTATATTAAAAAGATGAATGTTTTAACCTCATTTTAAAACTAACTCCCCAGTAATCTTGTATAAGTTCAAGTATAAATATTGATTTTATACTCATTGATGCTTAGCAAAATTATGCAGTTTCCCAAGTCCTATGCTATTAGAAATAGCCACTGAATACCTCAGAATGGGAAGGAGCTCATTCCTTAGTGGGAGTCTTTGGAAGCGATTGTGACGTCATCTACCTGCTTGCACAGCTTTACCTGTTCACTCTCCTTGCTCCTTCTCTGCTCTTATCAGATGGGAAAGAAGGCTTGAGGTCACCGTTCCCTTTCTACACGAGACTCGGGTTTGATGCGTGCTAAGGGTATGGCACACACAGTACTCGGTATATTATAGATGTCATTATCACAGAAACTGCTCTGTATCAGTGACCAAAATGAGGTTAAGAAATTTGTTAAGTAAATGGTCAGGGCATGCAGGTAGCTTCATTTTGAGTCCTAGTGACTCCAGAATTATATAAGGACATTACAGATCCTGTAAAAATCTATGCTGGAAGTTCAGGCCATGCCAGTCCCACAGGAAAATGCTTTTGAGTTTAAGCTTATCTCTGCCTGGTGTCCTTCAGAGGAGTTGAAATGGATCTCATTAGCTCTCTCCGTTCCCGAGGCTGCTCTTCTGTGGTTGCACCTTCAATCTTGTGTTCTAGGTTTGTTTCAGTGAGGTTTTTCTCTTTGTTTGAAACTTTTCAAATAAATTTAACTTACAGAATATTTATTGAATGCTTGGTATGGAACAAAGATAGTCTTTTTAGGTTCACAATAAGTAATTATAATACAGTTCCCCAAATGATAAAATAGAGGCATTCACAACAGATCAAGGGAACATATGAGAAGAAGATTGATTTTTTTTTCTTTGAATGAAGATGTCAGAACCTTGAAATACAAGAGACATCAGGAGGGGCACTTGTTGAGAAGAGGGGTTCTGGTGGAAAGACAAGGGATGTGAAAGAGAATAGGACATGAAATGAGTAAAATGTGTTATAAAAGTGTATGAAGCTTTCAAACAAGAAGAGAATTTGAAAAATAAGTAATAATACTAACATATAAACAAAAAGAAATGAGTTATGGAGAGGTAGCAAAATAGTGCTAAAGATAGCTGTGTCATGACGAAGGTTAAAACTGGACTTTCTAACACACTATATTTAATAAAACATGACTGAGAAAACTAGTGTTTCAGAAGGCTAAGGAGTTCAGCTCAGAAAGCAAAGATCATGAATTTGAATGTTTAGGGGAGAAAGTTGGGATATGAGTGTCAGACAAGCAATCTTGGGTCTTTAGCTCTTGTTTATAAACCCAGAAGTGACACATGGCAGATCCTTCTATTACGGGGTAGTCACTCTTCCCATTGCTGGACTGAGTTGATCTTGTGATACGTTTTGTCAATAGAAGTTAGCAAATATGAAATAATAAAGAATGAAAGATCTTGTGATTCTGTGATGGGAACTCTGAGGGTACCTTATGGAGGAGCTGGGGGTTGAATTGCCACCCAGAGGAGTACTGAGGCCCTGCTCCCAGTCTTAGAAACTCAACATATGATGAGTCACCTCGTTAGCTTGTGAGCCACTCTTGTGTGAGGAACAGTGGGGGAGTCCAGAAGGAACAACCTAGCTCATCCACAGAATTTTGAACTAAATGAAATGTCATTTTAACATGCAGGTTTGGTGTCCTTCTTATGTAGGAAGCTATCCATAGATGGTAGGTGCAATGACAGGAATGTGGGAAGGGGTGCCAGACGACAGGAGGGTGTGCAACCTTCCATTGTCGTTTTGAGGAGTTTGGGTCTGTTTTGTAATACCAAGTTCCACAAACTTCATTGAGTCATATACTACTTCTATTTTCTTAAGAAACATCCTCATACTACCTAAAAGATTTTTCTTTAAATTGTATAATTTTTATACTTAGGTTTATTTTTAAAGAAAATTTAATGTTAACTTGGCATCACTTAGATGTTTTTCTAAACTGTTTTCCTAAACCTATTACATATATCAATATTTTAAAGCTGATCTGTTTGTTACGAAAATAGCCTTGTATATTATGAGCAGTGTATTCTTGGATGAGTCACGTGGGTGTGGCCAGTAGGCTTCAAGTGAAGGCTACTCTAAAGTCTCAGGTGGGATATGGTATGTCATAGATCAAGAGATTTAAGATGTATCCCTGAGGAAGAAGGACAAGGATGTGGTGACAGGTTTGATAGATGTGGGGTGGGAATGGGGAATGTTAAGGAGCGGGAGACTTCGAAATACAGTTGAGACAGCCAGCTTCACTGCCAGAGGTCACTTAGAAAAGGAAAAGAAGGGTAAAAGTAAGCACGATGGTTTTGATGTTTTGTTTGTTGAGTCTGAGACAGTAGGCCGTCTGTAAACTAGCATTTAGATATGTGGGTCTGGGTTCAAGTATTATTTTTGAAGTCATCCATATACAGATAGGTAAGTCTTAGGCACAAGAGGTACTATTGCTAGCGGAGGTCATTACAAAGATCTTCAGCTCTCTTTCCCCATCTCTGAAGAAAGACTATTTCTTCCAGTCAGAAATGACGAGTGAGTGGAAAATGTATTAATGTTTCCCCAACTGTGATGGATGTTTAAGCAATTTCCTCCAGGTGATTCTGATGTTCCCTCTTACCCTGTTTTGATTTAGAGTTCAATGAGGGTAGAAATGAGGAAGAGGAATTAACAAAAAACAACAAACAAAAGAACAAAGTCTGATAGGTAGATTTTTTCTGGGAGAAGAGAAGCTATGTAGAGCTGTAGAGGGGAAGGAACCTTAGCAAGGCAGAAAACCTTTCGGTGAGAGCCGGGCTGTCTGCATAGAAATCCTGCAGTGTGAGGACTACTGCTCAACCAAAGCTGGCTCATTGAGATCTACTGCACAGCAGACAAGAGCACAGCACAGGTTTGAATAAACAATTTCTAGGTTGGAAGCACTTCAAGCCTTAACTATTCAAACACAGCAGAATTGTAACTGTAGCACTTGTGTCTTGAAAACCAATGCAAGTCTTAGCAACTTTTCTTTCTCTCCATGGTTAGTATTTTAGAAATCACCTTTGTGTGCTAGCCGGATCTGACTGGGAAGCTACGCAGGGTCCTGTTCTCAGGAAATGTGATAAACTGGCGACTGGGAAGATCTTCCCTGGCAGAACTGGAATCCCATCACTCCGTCTGGTTCTCAGGTAATTTCTGTGCTTTTGTGTGCCACTCCTTTTGTTATTAATATTATTTTTAAAATGAATGACTTCCTACCTGGCTATACATAAGCTAAGAAAAAGCCCCATCTCAGGAATTCTCCTCAGACATATTTTTGATGTCCCCTGTATCTTGCACGGAGGAGAATTCTCTGTAGCACAAGTTGGTTCATTTGACATCTGGCATTCCTGGCTCCAGTGAGAGCTGCTTCCCCCTCGATGTGCCCTGAAAGCATTCCTGCTGCGCCGCTTCTGTCCGAGTATAAACACATTACAGGAAATGAACACGTCAAGAAGTTGCTTTTCAAGAAGGAATAAAAAAAGTGTCCCTCCCAATTCCACCTGGATTTGATGTCCAGCTTCAGGAAATGTAAGCAGCCCTAAGGGTGGAGGCTATTGTCCGGCATCAATAGCACCTGGGTCCGGCTCTGCTCTAAACTCCCCAAGTACAGCATGCTTTAAAATCTGCAGTATCCTCCCAGTTGTTGCTAGGGAGGCTTGCTGAGGAAAATTGCTTCGGGACCTTTAACATGTGAGGGAGGAGATGGAGTGTCTTTCGTTGTACTCAGGAGGGCAGCTGGATTTAGTTGTTTACAGTTGTAAACTTGGAATTGCATAGGCTGAGGTCAGGGACACATTTTGGAATAATTGAAAGTCTACAGTTAGACCTATAAATAATTAAATGGATTCATTTTGTTGGCTTGCTTTAATATGCAGATACTAAAACGATGAACGAAAATGAAAGAAAATGGGTATATAACAAGGAAGTTAAGACTCCAAAGTAGAAGAAAGGAAAGCCTTCCGCTTTGCTCTGCTGTGGTCTTTCCAGGTCCATTTTTCTGCTCCAGCTTAATGATGCATTTTAAGGAGAGCCATGTACTCCCTGTCTTTATACTCAGACTGCAGCAAGTATCGGCCCAGCCACCCTTTCAGATCCACTTCAAGGAAACACAGGCTAGAAACTGCTCCCCGTGGTTTTGTCTGAACTGGCTGACGCCCCGCCGCACACACTGGGTCCACGGCTGGAGTCGGGAACCTAGAGGTGAGCGAGCATCGAACAGCACTTAGCAGAGTGAGGCAGGCGGGCCTGCGAGAAAGGATGTAGGTGAGCCAGAAACTAATGGGGAAATAGGGGGTCGTCGTTAATTTTGATGTGGGGAAATGTGAACAGCTCTCCTGCATGCCAGGGTATTTGAATATTTGGCAAACAGCTGGCTGGGCTCTGGGAGAGCGCCTCTAGATTCGCCTCGTCAGATGTTCAGAGATAAAACGAGTCAGCCTGCACGCCAGCACATAGCTCATAGCCTTGCAGTCAGTTTTGAATTTAGATTTGAATTGTGATATCAATGTCATGGTGGCACATGCTTTGAGAAAGTACTTACAGAGAATAATTGAAAGATTCAGTGAGACGCTTCTGAAAGCCGTAATTTAAAGTTCCACAGCCTCCACAGTACTCTCCCCATTAAAATTTAAAGCGACAGAAGCCCAATTATGGATGGTTATTTTCTTAAATAAAATCATATTTCTACTCCAAGTGAAAGATTCATCGCTGGCCACTAATCTCTGTCAGGAGAACCCATCTCGGTGCTGTCCTATGTCAGCAGCCGAGCGGTTAGCTTTATCCCGGGGACAATGGGGCGGCACTGGGGGAAGCCAAGCTGCGAGGCCTCCACGGAGGAGCCTGACTTGCGGGAGGCTGATTTGCATGATAATCACCATTATGGATCCTCTCTGGTGCCAGCCTCCACACTTAGCCGAATGCAGTATAACTTTAATAGCAGCTGGGAAGCCTGAGCAGGGACTGAAACACACAGTTTGCAAAGCCCAGATGACGTCAAACGCTGTGAGGAGAGGGCAGCCCTGTGAAGCTAACCCGGCAGAGGAACTTGGAACCACAAGGAGGCTTGGAGTAACTTTAAAATCTGATAAAGGATATAACTTCGGGGGCGGTTGATAGGCGGGGAGCGTTTCAAGTTCTTTTAACTCCAGGCAGATCTGTTCAGCAGAAGGAGCCTTGTCTGCCTTTCTAGGACTTCCGCGGCCCCTGAAACCCTGGCACTGAAACGGATCAGTGGGAACTTTCCCCAGAAGCGTTTCCAGTGAGGAAGTTAGTCACTGTCAGACAAAAGTCCGGAGCCAGATTTTTAGAGCATAAATCTCTCCTCCAATTTATTTGGTCGCTTGGATTTTACTTTCTGCTGCATTGTGACTTGGGGAATGTGGTATAATGGTAGCCAGAACAAAACAGTGCAGAAGGCCAGTCAAGCTTAAAGCACTCCGCTTAAGGAAAAGCATTACTCTCCGAGTGCCTGAAGACAAAGGAGTATGGGAACCACACAGACACACGAGGGTGAATGATGCATGTACGCATACACGCATACTAATCTAAATGTCTTGTACATACCAAGTCACAACATTTCTTAAGTTTTAAATTTCGAAAAAAAAAAACCATTTGCAAGTAGGCCTGGTTTCTGCTAAGTTTTGCACGATTCCGTGCTCTAGATGAAGCCGTAGCTCTCACCCGTCTTTCCACTACACCCTCGCCGCGCTGTGAGCACAGCTCTCCTGAGCTGCTGCTCACTCTCCACGTGAAGGCTCCACACTTAGAGCCAGTGTTTCCCAGGGCCTTTAGGCTTTTGCTGTAATCCATTCGGTCTCTTCAATTTTCATTTTTGCTGTGTTGCTGGCCTCTTTGTAAACAACAAGAAAGCTCTTTAACGCTGTGTAGTCTGGGTGCAGCTGCCTTGACTCTGCCACAGAAGGGAGTAGATTAGCCATTTGGAAAATTTGTGATGGCTGCCTGGGCCAGCTCAAGTAAAGTCACACTTTTTACATGGGGTCCGGCTTCCTTTCCTACCAAAGAAAACCACACATTATCTCTAACGGTCGGGGCCCACATTGCCCATCTTACCAAGATGGCTCAATTATGTAGTTTGTAACACAGGTGGGTTTCAGCTTCCCGGCTAACCCACCGCTTGCACGGGCCTCAGTCAGCAATAAGGGGTACATTCTAGTGTCCTGTTTCATTTTATGTATTATCTCTTCAGTTTTACTGCAGTGAACATGGTAGCACTTTTATTTTTGTTAATTTCTGATATCAGACTCTTCTAAATGGAATTTCTGTTATCTCACATAAGACTCAATTTCTTAATTAATTAATTAATTGACCAGCAGGAGTTCATAGGCTGGAAAGGGTTCTGAGATCTCAGAGGTTTGAACTACCCCAATGGAAGGATCTCCTCTTCTTGCCATGACTTTGAAAAACCTAGAGATACAACTTCACCTTCTTTACCCACAACGCCTGAGACCAAAGAGCACTCTAACAGGCTGTAGTAGTTGTGAAGCTCTGACCAGGTGAGTTAGAAGGCAATCATGCAAAAGAAGATGAGAGATTGTCAAACTGTAGAAATCCTAGGTGGTTGGAATACTGCACACTATATACTGGAAAAAATTATACTTTATATAAAGTGGCTTTGGGGGATTAATTTAGCACACATGTCCAGGACAGCTAAAGTGCTGCTCATAGTAGTCCTTAGCCAACTGACCAGGAAGCCAAGGCCCTATTGAGAATCCTGTCTGATTCCAGATGACCTCACTCCATCTAGGCTTGTAAGACAAGAAAGGCCGCCCTTCTCCGGAATTGCTTTGCAGTGTCCCAAGCCTGCTTCTTTGCAGAGAGGCTCAACACAAAATATCCTCAAGAAAAGATGAAACTTGGTGTAGCTTCACATAACTGTGAAATTTTGAATTCTGAAAGTGCCCTACTCCAAAGGTATGTATGATTAATTTAGAATATTTACCAGTGTGGCTAAGACTTTTATATCATGGATCTAGTTGTAGGATCAGTGGGACCAGGGCTGCAGACATGTGCTTGAGGGGCTGTCACATTCTGTGTACGTTTCTAGTATACACATGGAAACATGTCTGCACTAGAAGCAAGGGCAGCAGGAGTAGCAGATACAGCCATGTTAAACAGGCAGGACCGATCATGTGATGTGCTCATTTATACAACACCATGGAAAGGATCAAGCAGTCTGGCTGTGTTAAATCATATCACTGCACACCAAAGAGATTTGAAATGGACTTTTAATTATAATTGCTGATTCACTAGGGGTACAATCCTTAATATGAGCATCTGATTAGGTTAATTTTCTCTAATTGATAAATAGAACACTTAAACATGTAGGCTTGAGTTTGTTGTTATGGATTGATCATTTTATTCTGACTTTTTGCCGAAGTATAAATTACAGGCACTCCTTATCTATTATAGTTTTGAGGTCACTGCTCTTCCTTCCTTCACCTTTGTGTGGCTTTTTAGATTGGCTAATGGAGATAGAGCAGGGCTAAGTGACTATTAAACTCTTTTCCATATACAGTAAAAGCCATTAACATGGACCTCACTAAAATTAGAATTTATGAAAATGAGGGCAGGGCTTGGGTTAAAGTTTACTTTTGCATTGTGCCTGAACTAAAGCTTTGCTGGGCTAATAAATAGTACAAATAAAACTGCAGGGGGATGGCACCATTACTATAAAAAGCAGACTCTTAGGCCCTTTAGAGAAAGGCCTTGTAAGAGACGTAATGAGGTAGTGGGGCAGGAAGGCAGAGTGCAAAGTCTGGGCTCCTCACCAGCCGTGTGACCTCGGCTTCTCCAGGCATTTCCCGATCTGTAAAGTAGAGATAGTTATCTGTTTTATGAGGTGGCTCTGAAGCATTTCTTTAATACATAGAAAGTGCCCGAAATGAAGATGTTATTTCATGAGGGTTAGGTAATTATTGTCTTCCTAAAATAAGTGGTAAGTTGTTTCAAATACTTCCCAGTTTTGACTAAAGCAAGTTTCTTCGATTAAGTAGAAGTTTAGTAATTTCACCTGAGTTTGTGCTTTACTGGCAATATTCTTCTTACTGAGATAAAGAAAACCATAGTTGTAGCAAACAGAACTATGCACTAAGTCAAACCCAGTTCAAGAGGAAGTTGTATATCCCAAGCAAGTCACTACTGATCAAATCTCAACTTGGTTTTTAATTTATAAAGACAAGAAGTCAAACCCATTTTATTCTGGTTATGGTGCTTGAGACTGGATAATTTACAAGGAACAGAAATTTAACCATCATTAAAGCTTTAAAGTTGGATATCCAGATGCTAGCATGTGATTATTTTTTAGTTAATTAATTTTTTTGTTCTTTTTTATTGAAAATAATTTTTCCATATGATAATTCTGCTTATAGTTTCTCTTCCCTATCTCCTCCAGTTCCTCTCCACCTCACCAGGTATCTATCCATCTTTATATCTTCTTCTCTTCTTTAGAAAACAAACAGACACATAAAATAAATCAGTCAATCTAGAATAAAACAAAAAGAAAAGAAAGAAAATATATGAGAAACACATACACACTGACACAGAACCCATAAAAACACATGATCAGAAGCAATAATATATAAGCAAAAGATCACTAAGGTTAAAAAAAGTCTAAGCTAAGTATTATGAGAAAAAACACTTCCAAAAGTACCATTGAGTTTATTTTGTTTTGGCCATCTACTTCTAGACATGGGATCTCCGATTACATGTGATTTTTATATCCTGTAAGACTACACTGCAGAAAACTGACTTTTCCTTTGGAGAAGTTACCAATTTGAAAGCACTTCTTTGTTAGGAATGAGGTCTTATGTCCAGTTCCCTGCTTAGTTCTTGCCACCCCATCTGGCCTGGACCTGTGCACGCCCCGTGTATGCTTCTACAGTCTCTGCCAGATCATATGTGCTTCTGTCCTATTACATCTATAAGGCATGTTTCCTTGGTGTCTTCTATTTCCTCTGGTTTACAGTCTTTTTGAGGGAAGGGTTTGATGAAGACATCCCATTTAGACCTGAGTGTTCTATATTCTCTAACTCGCTGCACATTGCACATTTGTGGGGTTCTGTATTGGTTCCCATCTACTTCGGGAGGAAACTTCTCTGATGATGACTGGGTTAGATACTGATCTATAGGTATAGTAGAATGTTGTTAGGAGTCATTTTCACGTTATACCAATTTAGTCAGAACAATGGTATACTGTTTCTCCCTAGGTTCACACCTGTGTAGTTTCAGGTTCTTGGCTACCTGAGAAGAATCAGGTGTGGGTTTCGTCTCATGGAGTGGAGTGGGCCTTAGTTCCAAACAGATAGTGGTTGGTAACTCCTATAACTTTTGGGCAATTATTGAACCAGTGTGTCCTACAGGCAGGTCAACACTGTAGATCAAAGTGTTTGTTATTATGTTGGTGTTTGCACGTAGTCCTTCCACTACTGCCGACACTAGTCAGTCGGAGGCAGGGGTGGGGGACGGGAGAGCTCTAGTTAGGTTCTGGCTCTACTTCTCCATCGTCAGGGAATTATGTAGATGTTGTCTTCAGCAACAGAGCCTTACTATCAGTTTGTGGAGAGCAACCCAAATCCATGGCAATATGCTGAGTTGTTTGGGGGTTTCCATGGGGCGTTGGCAAACAGCTTTATTAGATATAATCCATTTCTGGCCCTGGAAGCTCCATTTGGTGGTAAGAAAAGACTAGTTAGGGCTCCCCTGTTGTTTGGTAGTTCCATTTAGATTTCATTCATATATGTATATTTTTTAAGAAGTTTCTATGCACTATATTTCCATATGATGGCACAAATGGTACTTTAGCATTAGGTGTCTATTGTTCTTTAAAAATAATATGATGTTGGGAGTGCCCTGAGCGGCCTACAAGCCAGGCAGAAGCTGCCGCCAGAGCAGTACAGGTTACCTGCGGGGGCAGAGCTGGTCCCGTCATGCAGCAGGGGAGAGTCAGGCAGGCAGGTGCGGCGGATAATAGTAAACAGACATAAGGCTAGACATAAAGGTAAACATTTATTACTTAAAGAAAGGGAGACATAAAGACATGGAGACAAACATAGAGAGAGACAGAAAACACGTGTGCACATGACAAGAGATGGACAGAAAAGAGGAAAGTCAAGATGGCACTGAGGTCAGAAGTGGCTGGAAGTGGGCATGGTTAACCCTTAAAGGGACCAGAGATAGCATAAGGAATAACAGTGTCCCTACATGTATTCCCTCCCTTACTCCCCTCTTTCTTCCCCTTCTTCATTTAATCCTCTCATCCCACCCTCCCTTGTCTCCCCATAACTGGTTTCCCTTCCTTGGGAAATCCTCCTCCCACCCAGTCCTAACCTCTCTGTTCATACAGACTGCAGCACACTTGTTGAAAACTGATGTGGTTGGGCAAGTGTCTCTTTAGTGGATTGTAGAGTCCTTTTGGGTATATGACCAAGAATATAGCTAAATCTTGAAGTGGATCTATTTCTAGCTTCCTGAGGAACCATCAACTGATTTTTTAGTTCTTTATTTAAATTAAATATTAGACCTTGATAAAACAAGTAATTGGTAAACAGCTTTTTTTATTCTGACGACTGCTACTTTGTCCAAATGATGGTGCCCTTTGCTTTGCAGAAACTTCAGTTTTATGGAGATCCCATTCATTAATCATTGTTCTTAGTGCCTGTGCTGCTTGGTGTCCTGTTCTGAAAGTGCCAATGCAGTCAAGATTATTCCCCCAGCTTATTTCATTGCACTGTTGTATTTTCACAGATTTCTTTAAGGTCTTTATTACTATTATCTTTGAGGTCCTTGAACGTATTCATAATAGTTTTCTTGAAGTTCTTGTTTTGTACTTCAGCTCTATTGCATTTCTTTTGGACTATAGTACTGGAATTACTGGTTTCTGAGGAAGGCATATTGTCTTGGCTGTTACTGTATCTTTTGTGCTGGTGTTTAGGCATCAAGAATTTGGATGATTGTGATTCTAGGTGTTGATATCTGGTATTGTCTTTTTAAGGTGGGTGTTTCATTCTTTTGTTTTAGGTAACCCCTCTGAATCTTAAGAAAGTGTTTTGCATGTTAGGGAGTGCTTCAGAGTCCCTGCTAGATGTGACCACTGGGGATCCTGGGTAGAAAGTGTTTCTGGGCATTAGAGTCTGACAGAAAGGAATGAGGACAGACTATCAGATGTGAACTGAGAAAATTCTCAGGAGTGATGGAAATTTCATCACTCAGGTTCAGCAGAGTCTCCAGGAGTAAGAGGACAGGTCTTTGCAAGTGGTCTTCAATAGGCTGGGGGTAAAACTGTAAAAATTGTGATGGAGGATAGGAAGAAAAATGAAGATTACTTATTTGATTCACAGCCTGGTGTAGACACTGAGTTCCAAGTAGAACTAATAGAGATCTTTTTGCTTCTTTGCCACATGGTAGACAAAGAGAGGAGGGAGAGGACAGGAGACAGCTTCTGAGGAGAGAGGAAGGAGTCAAACATCTTCATGCTAGCTCCAGCCCCACCCTGAGGATGAATTCCCTCCAAACAAACACTACACACCTTTTAAAAGGCTCACCTCTTGATGCTATCACAATGGCAATTCAATTTCAACATGCATTTTGAACAGAACAAAATTCAAATTCAAGCCATATCTACTCCCAGACTCTCTTGATGACTAAATGAAATTATGACCCCAATGTGGTCAGCTCAGCAATAGGGTAGTAAACTCTCTCATTTCTGCGACTGCTAGTCTTGTGATGTGTTGAAAGTTCTTCATTCCTTTTTGGAAGATTGATTTTTATTTTTAATAATGTGTGTGTGTGTGTGTGTCTGTGTGAGTGTGCCTATGTGTAAGTATGTTCAAGTGTGTGTAAGTGCCCACAGAGGTCAGAAGAAGGTATAGGACCTTCTGGAGCTGGTGTCATAGCTGGTTGTGAGAGCATTCTGATATGGGTGCTGGGAGCCTGAATTAGGTCCTTTGCAGGAGCAGCATGAACTCTTAATTCCCGAATCACCTCTCCAGTCCAAAGTTATCCATTCTTTTGACTCTCTACTCATCCAGATTTTCGTTTTCAGTTCATCTTCATACTTAATGTGCTTTAGGTATAATCTCCAACTGAGGAATCAGTTTCAATATGTGAGTGACAGATATAGTGAAATAGTAGTGTCTATTTAAATAAGTAGATTAAAAGGAGAAAGAATATTTAAAACAAACATAGGCATTAGGATTAGAGTTAGATGAAAAATACTGTACAATTAAGTTTGTATAATCTTTGTGTCTTTTAACCAAAGAACTTTATATTAGTTAGAAAGAAATGGAACTTTGTACACAAGTAGTCAAAAGTCTGTATTGGCCACTAGCGTTATAACATTCATTTGGAGAGAAAACCGGTCCATGCTGAGATTTTAACATTGCCGTGTGCTGCATAGAGACTATGATCTATCCTTCCCCCATTGACTGATTACTCTGGTCCTGGTAAGTGGATCTCACTGACACTAAAATGGCAGCCGTCAGACATGCTTGCTTATTAAGAGCTCTTCAATAGGAGAGAAATGTATTTTACTGAAAACTCTCATCCATGCTATTTTTGTAGATTCATAAGATGCCAACTTTCTTTGCAATGCCAGAAGAATTGTTACTTGAGATTCTGTACCATGGCAATACAAATTCACAGCCATAAACACTTTATAAAAAACAGGTTTTATGCATTATGCATGAACAACAGAAACTGGTAATGATAACTTGTAGGAAAAAATAGGGGCAGGATTGTGGCTACGTGCCTCTGGTTTTGAGGACTGACAAAGTTAAGTGTATCATTAAAAGGTTGTTACGGAAGAGAAAGATGTTTGATGATTAAAAGTATCTGCTGCTCTTGCAGAGGATCCAGGTTCAGGTTCCACCACACACACTGGGCTGCTGACAGCTTCCTACAACTCCATTTCCAAGGAATCTGATACTTTCTTCTTGCACCTGCAAGTACCTGGATGTATATGATGCACATACATAAACTCTTGTATAGATATTCACATAGAATAAATAAACAGATAAATAAATAAAGAATCAATGCATATTTTAAATGTCTTTAGTTCATTAAGTCGACAATCAGTGGTTTAAGCTGAGTTACTTAATATATAAACTCATGAGTCAGAAAAATAAATCTTTTGACAGGTTGTATTATTGACATGAGGCAAACAAGAGATCCCTGCAGCATATATCATGTTACTACTTGTATCATATGACATGTCTGTTGGAATGGCTGCTAAACTATGGCATTATTTTCCTAGGCTGGACACACCTGAGAGTTCAGATATAATGGTTATTCACTGAGTATTTACTGTATGTAAGCCTTGCATTAGAAGCTGGGGATATCCTCAGGACAACAACAACAAAATGCAGTTTCACATTGCTAACAATCATCCTATGGAGTAGGTATAGTAAGACAAACAAAGAAGAAACCACTCTATAGTGTTTAAGCGGTTTGTTCAAAGTTGGACGGCCCTAAAGTTCAAACTGAAGCTATAGTGCTGTGGTTTTCAGAGCAGCCTGACTTGCATGTTGCTTAAGAAGCCCCAGCACCGATAGAAGGGGCACTCCAACATAAGGGGATACTGCACCTTCCCAGGACTGCCTACGTGTTAACTGTTAGTGAAGGAAAACATAGAAAATGTATCTTTATTCATTTGCTATACCTGAATATTGCCTCACTAATATATCTGAAGTTGTGTAAGTGTTCCCTCAAAGAGCACTCCTGCTGCCTATTCACATTACCTAGTGTCTGAAAGATCTAAAGTCACCTTTAGAGCCATGTACCTCTTAACATGTGAGGAAAAAGGAAACAATTAGCAATTTCTGTCACCCTTGTTAAAAAAGCATTGTTTCAAAGTAAATGTTCTGTTCATAGATATGGTCATATAACAAAGGATCTTATGACTTTATGATATGCCTGGATTCACTCTCCATTTCTTTTTAAGTCATATATTATCAAGGTTATGTATATATGTATGTAGTATGTGTATGATATATTGAAATATTCAAAATATGTGGAATGTCATGAATATTACATGATTCTACAGCAAATTCTGGCCATCTGCAAGTGCTGATGCAAATGTGCACTCACCAAGTCCACTGGCTTTCCCCTTTGGCAGGAAGGCTCGCAAAAGCCCCCAGGATTTGTCTTGCTTACATCCACGATCCCCAAAAGATCTCAGACTTAAAGATTTATGTTGTCAAAAATGTGCACTTACAGAACTGGCTTCATAGAAGAAAACATTTCTCCAAGTTCTGAGTGAGATGTGCGTTCAGTATGTGAACCAGGAACAGCTGTGGTCGAGAACGCTAGCTTTTCAGAATTCTTGGTGTATTCTCATAAAGTTCAGATATTTACTATTTACCACAGAAAAAACAACTAATACATATTTATTAAAATGATGATTGAATATTAGTTGAATTGAGACGGACCCTCTGATCCTTGGCAACATGTTTCTTAGGGCCACAGGAACTTGGAAGAGATAAACAGAGGGAATTCTTCTTGTGTGTCTCTTCAGATTCCTTGGACCCGGCTGACCAGCCTGTGTTTGTATACATTTAAGTCTCCGGGGTCCCTCTTTCCTGGATCTTTCTTCACACCCTAGATTTTTAGTCTATCCCAGAGCTTATCTGGGAGAAGGTAGGTGACTACCACAATGGTGTCTGTCTTAAGTGGGAGGCAGTCCTGAGTTTTATCACACTGGCTACGTGGAAGTAGAAACAAACCATCTGAAGAGATGGATAGAAACAAAATCATAGAGACTATAGGCCACAGTAGTAAAGGCTTTAATCTTTTGCCTCACTATTCCCAAGCTTCACCTGCTTACAGAGGCTTTATTGGGTCAGTATTTGATTCAGGGACACCATGTCTTTTAATACGCAGAGGCAGGCTAGTTGAGGCTGGGAGGAGTGAGAAGATGGGGTGGAATTTTGATCTTCTGCTTCTAGAGGTCAGCACCAAGAACGCAAAATGACTTTTCTCTCAGTTCTTAGAGAACTAATGTCTATCCAGCGAGTTACCATACTAGATAGTGAGAAACAAGGAGTCAACTGCATAGTGCAGATTCCAGAGGGATCCAAATAAGGGATGGTTTAGCTTAGACGTGTTTCCAGTGAACTTTTTAGATTATAAGTGGAGTGCCAAAGGGTAAAAATCTTCGGAAAAGATTCTGTGAATAGAGATCCTGAGAATTGTAAAGGTCTGTGGATCAGTCTCAGTGTATTAAAAAAAAAAAAAAACAGGAAAGTAAATAATCTCAGGACCCAGGTAGGAGTTAGAGCACAGGGATCCATGTCAGATTCTTCACTTATTGTTTGTGTATGTGTTCCTGTGTGCATATATGTATGTGTTGTGCACAAACATGATATGCATGTAGATGTTGGAGGGCAGCCTCGGGCGGTGGTCTTTAAGCTCTCCCATCATCTTTGTTGGAGACAAGGTCTGTCTTTGCCTTGGGACTTCACCAAGTCAGATTGGGTAGTTGTTTTGTGAAGTCCCCCATCTCTGGGATTGCAGGCATGTACAACTGTGGCTGAACTAGTCTGTGGCTTCTAGGGATCCACAGTGAGGTCCCTGTGCGTGCAAGGAAAGTGCTTTACCAACTGAGCTGTCTGCCAGTGCTAGAGTGTTGTTTTTTTTTTAATAAAAATTAAGTCAATGTTAGCTCCATTACTATTTTATGGAGTGAAGTCAGAATAAAATAGCAAGTGATGAATAAATGTTCCTATGCATTTATTTCATAAAAACAGTGTAATTTATCTAAGCTGAGCCTAGGTTTCCACGTGTGGGAGCAGAACAAAGTTAGGTCAGTCATGGCCAGGGCCAAGCCTCACTCCACCTGGTGGAAGCCTCAGGGCCCAAGAAAATGTGCTCATTTGAGAATTCAGTCAGGGATTGGTTTCCAAGGAGGTTCATTTTAGCAGGAGGTGGGCCTAATAGGCTGAAGGTAGCAGGGGACTTGGAGTCAGAAGTGGTGATATCATTGAGTGGGCTGCCTTAACAGAGCTGAATCCCATCACAGAACAGAATCTAGAGAAGACTGTCAGGACCCCAGTTGTGCTGTTAGAAAGAGGAAAGTTAGTGATGGCAGAAGTCATTTTGACAAATAGGCCAACCTACCTAACGGTGAAAGAAAAGCATTGCATACAATTCCGTAACATTGTGGCCAGAGAAGTTCCACTCACTGCATATGGTGATCTGAGATGACTTCTCTCCAGCCTGCAGTGATGGTGAGGGTTTGGAGGTTGCAGCAGGCCTTTTAAATGGAGACTCCAGGCACTCAGCTTATAGTCATAGTGGGGCAGAACCTCTTGGCAGGAGTGAAGATGACAACAAAGGTCCCCTAGGTTAGCCAGGATTGTCACAAGTCAGGCTTTTGAGGACAGGCCAAGACCAAGGAGGGAAGAGTGTTGAAACAAAAAGACACTTCAAGTTAAAAGGTGTGTAGGTTTGGTAACAAGTTTGATAAAACAGACCAAGATGGTAGAACCCAAAATGATTCTCAAGTCACATAGCTTGTTTGTTGCATGAATCTTAAAGAACTTTATTTCTTTAGATTTTTTTTTAGTTTTGATAGAGTTTAGAAGTTTTGATGAACATAAGTTCTTTGGTCTATTTAAAATATACAAATAAGGTGAATTAGTAAACAAAATACTGTTGAAGCTAAACTTGATTGTGGCTTCTTAGACTCTTATTCAGAGAGCATGGGGATACATAGATTTTTATTTTTACATTTAAAGTCCTTTGTATAAGTGTTAGTTTCTGGTTTTTATGGGATTTATGTGTGTGTGAACATGTGTATCTCTGAGTCTATACGTGTTTCTTGTGCTTTTTCTTTGGCTTTTTTTTCCTGTTTTTTCTTTATTTTGTCCTATTTCAGTTTTGTTTTATTTTATTTTTGGATACCTGTTTGTTTTCTAAGAAGAGAGAAAGAAATGTGGATTTGGGTAGGAGGAAGGTGGGGAGGATCTGGGGGGAGTTGGGGGAGGGAAAACCATAATCAGAATATATTGTAGGAAAAAATCCATTTTCAATAAAAGAAAAAAGAGAGAAAAAGATATCAATCTTTCCTAGTCCAAGATACTGTTATTGGTGTGTGTGAAGAGGCGTGATAGCAATCCCTATGGGGGCCACTGCTGACTCCTGCTGATTGCTCTCAGGAGGCTGTTCATGTTGCAACTGACAATTGATATGTATCAAGTATTCAGACTAGACCCGGCCTCTGCTTGCCTGATGGGTAAGAACTTTGTTAAACACGTGCCTCTGCCTGATGATGCCATTAACTCTGGCTTCTCTACTGGTGGCAGTTGTGAGTTCTCAGCCATCTACACCGAACAATATGGCAGACTGCCAGCAGAGCCTTTACTATTCATGAAAAGTTCGGGAATGAGACCTCAAGGGTTAACAGACAATATGGAATGTTTATCAGTTAGGGAATGCTTGGGATGCAAGATTTCTGATTTTATTAAGCTTGGATTTGCACTGGGGTTGGGATGGAATTGAGAATTATTGTTCAAAGTAGGAAAAGAAAGATTTAAACAGTGTTACCACCATAGATAATTCTCATTATGTTTTGAAATGTTGAGTCACATTCATTTTAATGATCAGCAAAAGGCCAACTTTGGCATTTCTGAAGGTTCTTCTCAGCAAGAGATGGATAAATAATTGGTTCCTATTTTGTTCACAGACGTACTGCCTCCTGGACTGTGTCAGACAGTCACAGAGTACAGACTTCAAACCGACCTTCATACCATTTTGGTTGGAAATAGAACCACTGGAGGCTCATCATGTTACAGTCAGCAAAATGGAAACGAATCAAGAGGTTTAGAATGCCAGTGGTCAAGCCATTCGTTAGTAAAGTTTTGTAAAGGAAGTCTCCTGTATGGTATGCCTCACTTGCCTGAAATCAACTGCAACTGAGTGTATCCCCATCTTAGCTGCTTCTTAATCAATGTAGCTCCTCCAAATTGATATGGACTGAGACATCCAATACCTTTCAAGTTAATTGAATGCTTACTATGTGGGATTCCCTTTAAAAAGATGGGAGAGAAAATGAGGAGGCATATAAGGTGCTGAGTCTGCCCCCAGTGAAGCTGCAATTGGTTTCAGGATGCATAGCTCTTTCTTCTGCTCATAATTAAAGTTTTCTCTAATACAAGAAACAAATAAATAGAAAAACATATTCTGTAAATATTTTAAACTTCCTTAATGAGAAACAAAATAGAACATAGCACAACAATAGCAAAACAATCTGGGGAATTTAAGACATTTTAATATTTTACGGTTTTATTATTTTTCAGTGCTGAAATAAAGTATATTTTATTTATTCCACAAATATTTAGCAAACTTTAGAGGCATAATGCTTTGAACTAATTTGAATTAAATTCTACTTTTTCTTATAGGTGTAAGTTGTCTGCTGGAAAACCAATATTGCTCTCTGGAGGCTGCACGGTGAGTTACCTGTTTTCTCTACAGGCATCTACTCCCTATGTGCTCAAGGCTATCACTCTGCATGAGATACCAGTGAGGAGAAGACAGAAATGCAGATAAAATTTGGGAGTTTGGACTCAAAGATCCAATACTGGACAGAGAGCAACAAACATCTGGCAAAGCATCTTGAAAATCTGGATGAACAATTTCTAAAAGTATTCATCTGTTGTATCCTATAGCTTAAATCACTATACATTTTTCCTAAAAATTTGTATCTTACTTGAGAATATGTCATAACTTTTCCAGTGTTAAGATATTAGAGACACTGGACATTGTATGCTGTGTCTGTGACCTGTTTCAATATGGATGAGCCAACAATGGCTATCTTTGTCTTGAGTATTGTCCATGTAATTGAAAATGTGCCAACTCCCTTTAAAACATCATCAACAGACTTCTTAATTAAGCTGCCAATACCAACGGTCAATAACACTGTGTGCTGTTTGAGAAATGAATAATGTTGCTTGAACCTTGTTAAATAAACAGTGCTGTACCTATATGATGCGTTTCTCGTGGTCTTTGAGTATGGCGCTTCACTGTTTACTAAGTGACTTGATGAAAATTCTTAAACTATTTATTTTAATTTTAAAACATTGTTGCTTTATTCTTCAGTAAAGAGCAGCTCTAATCTAACTAGTAACTTCAGTTCTAGGACTGACCTGTAATTGGATGGATTGTCTCACTGCCAAAGTCCTGGTCATGAGGAATTCCTAGTTACCAACTTGTGCTATGCCAAACTGTGCATGTCCCTGCTGTTGGAGACCCCTTTAGGGAGTTCATTTCTGCATTACAAATTTCTACTTAGTCCAGATGTTGGTGAAAACTAGGTCTGGGTTCAGTGAACACGTGTGATCATGGAAAGCATAGTAGCCTTTTTCACTATGGCTCTTTTAAGAATGTTATTTAAGACTGGAGGGGTCTTTAATACATTTATTTAAGACCTTTATTGGCTTGTACTTTATGGTTAATATACTGAGAAAAAAGTCAAATAAAGCAAATAATTTTTATACAGCCTAGTCTCCCTGTACCTCATCAAGAGTGTTTTGGGGTCACAGTTCAACCTTGCTGTTTAAACTAATATCCACTCTTTCTTGCCACCGGCCATCAGCAGTCTCCAAGGGGAAGTGCCCCTCTCCTCCTTTGACTTGTCTTTCAGAGTACAGTAATCACATCATCCACCAAGAACTCATGGGGAGCAAGTGCTTTATGTGAATCCTCTCAGTTATCTTGTTGAAACCTCGTACCATCCATGGGCAGCAGACACCATCCACTGCAGAAGAATGTAGTTTGCTTAAAACGTAGGGATCCACATTCACAGCTCTACTTTGAAGCCTGATCTAACCCTTCCACCCTCTGTTCTTCAGGTACATCTTAGAACAAACTGCTAATGCCTTGTGGTGTGTGCATGAAGAGTGTGTTGAGAGTCATATCAAATCTGGATGGTGTCCAGACTCATTGCATTTAATTTTCCCCAACAACACACTCTCTGACAGATTAAAAACCCAGGAAAACATTGTTGTATTGAGGATGGGGGAAGTACAGAGCAATTGGGAGAAAGCAAAGTTGGAAACAAACCAGTCTGAGTTGAACCTTTAGCCTTTACCTCATAATGCATTTTTTTAAACTTTCTTTTTTTAAACACAGTCTGACACCATGTGATAAATCAAAGCCTGATGTAATTGACCCAGAATTGATCCCCAAATGTCTTCTGGGGGAACATGCTTTAACTATGCTTGTTGATTCTGAGGAATAATTGCCACCCTAGAAAGGTAATTACATATGCCATTGTTTATACACATAATAGGCTCAGGATACATGTACTGCACAGAAGAGAAGAGAATTCTGCTTGCACATCAAGAGCGTGCACTGTGGATCCCATCAGACTGTCCCAAATAGCATTTGAACTGGCCATTGTTGCCAGCTTCTGTGCACATGTACAAGAGAGAAAGGGAGCATTAGGCTCTGAGATGGCGATGGGCCACTGAAGACCATGAAACCAAAATTGTTCCTTTTCCTTACTTTTTAAATTTCCTATAACATCTCCGTATCTGATTCACTGAACTGGTTTGATAGAAAGACTTTCCCTTATGCGTGTTAATGAATTCTCATAATTCTTTCCCTCAAGGGCTGTTCACGTTGTGGAAGTACATAGTGAGAGTCTTTCACCACAACATCCTCCTAAATGCCCTGGTCGGATAATCTCTTTAGGGGACAGATACAGTTGTGGCTAATGCTTTCCCCTTACTGTATTTTCTGCTAAATACAAATGGAATATAAGCCCCAAATGACCAATTAAAGCAATTCATGCATTTTTCCGTTAGCCATAAGACATTAGTTATCCTAAGTAAATACAACAAAAAGATATTCTACGGTAGTTTGGCCCTATCTAGTTTCAACCTTGTTCTTTTAAAAAGCAAAGCCTGAAAAAGCACAATTTTATGACATTCTGTAGTGCCATACAACAAAAGAAATACATATGTGTTCCAATATGGGAATGAGCATTGTTTGAGCTGGAGTAATCCATCCTAGGCTATTCTTTGCCACAGTGTCCAGCAAATTGCATGACCTGCTTGTTAGGCTTGACAACAGTGTTTTACTCAACAAAGGCCTCTGCAGTGCTGAGCAGCAATGGAATGTCAGAATGAGCACATTTCACACACAGATGTGCAGCCATAATAGCCTGTAAGAAGATGCTTGTGGCAGGGAGCAAATGGTGGGGGCCAGGACCAGGGTTGGGCATGGCACGGTGCATGAGTGCGGAGGCTGGGGGCTGGCTGGAGGGGGAGGCCAACACTTAGCAGCGGGAACATGGCCCTGCTGACCACATTTAATCAGCCCTCTGTAAACAATTCAACATTTTCATTGTTCTCTAAAAACTAATAAAGAGAAACAAGCACTTTTCATTCATCTTGAAGTAATTTTCTGTCAGGTCGGAGTCCCCCGTGGCTCCAGCTTGTGCAGTGCTAGCTGTGTGATACAACAACTATTGCAATTTATTTTACAAACTCTGGTCATTCACATGTCAGTTAGCGTTCACCAAGCGGCATCTGAGACTGTGCAGTTAACGAGTTTTACAACATTTCTATCAAGAGAAACTGTTTAGCATAACTGACTCTTAAGGAGTTATTATACCTCTAAAAATCCATTTTAAGGGGCATTATTTAAATAAAATAGAAAAACGGTTCACTGCCTTTTAAAGGGGCTACAAAAAAAGTCCATCAGCTCCGCGCAGTAATCCCCAGCTTTAAGCGCTCTCGAGAGCACTTCTGGGAATTGTCAGCATAATGAAATGTTTGGGGAAATGTCCAGATAGATTCCTCTCCTCAACAATTTTACTGCACCATATTTATTTTCTATCCAGTTTTAAAAGAAGTGAATTACTATTTGAGAGGATGACTCTGTGTTGTGTAGATTAACTGAGTGCGTTACTGCCAACGTGCTAGCACAAGGGATGGTTCTGTTTGCAGTACCATCTCTATGCCGGCTGCAGGTGGAGGCATTGAAAGAAAGATAGTCTCTCTCCAAAGGGTTAAAGCACAATGGTGTGCATGGGGTTTTACATTTTCCTTATGCTATATTCTTCTCAAACATTTGAACATTTTGTCACAAATGGCATCTGTGAGTATTTTCTTTAAATTCTTAAAACAGACTCTTTTCTTACCCCTAATAAATAAATTCAGGAAAATTCATACACATGTGCATGAACAAGTAATAATAATGTAGCCCCTTTAAATCTAGCCCATGCCAATAGGATGTGCTATTGAGCATTATATTTCTCGGAGAATAGACTCCTCACATTCACTGTGATGACCAATGACCCCAAACCAATTAATGGCTAGAGTCTCTGATGACGTAATGTACAGCACAGCTCTGAGTTCATTTGACACTTTCTATTACCTAACAGGATAGAAGCTGCTACCTCTGGTGTAAATAGCTTAGTGATTCATACTAGAATGAACAAGACAACAAGAAAAATACATTTTGCTCTAATAAGAGATTTTACTTATCTTTAGAAACTCTATTTGGAACACTGAAAATTTTCATTTGGCCACAAACTGTCCTTTAACTTCTTAAAGCAATGTTTGTGCACATGACTTTAATTTTCTGAAGGGCTCAGGCAGGTGTTCTTATGCCCATTAGCTGTTTATATCCATAAGAAGTATGGTAACACCAATGAAGAAATACAGTTTGGTATAACTCATGCCTTTATCACCTCCTACAGACATTATTTCACGCTGGCACATTAATATTTTTGGCAAGATATTGTCATTCTGAGAAACTTTACTTTCTGAAGTTCAAATGTTGAAGAATGAATTCTTAAAATTCCCTATGCGCCTTAGATTTAAGGCAGATGTAACTTATTCCAATATAATCTCTTCTACTTTTTATTTTTAATATTTAGTGGCACTCCAGAGAATGTTCAGATATTATGTGATGATCATATCTGAAAGCTTTCACCACCTCTTTACCAAAGGGCCTATCCTTTCTCTGTTACCAATTTTACACAAGATTTAGAGAGTGTATGATGTCACTCTTTGTGGCTATTCGGCCTTCTTTTTGATAAAACATTAGGGGAGATTGAAAAAAAGTTTTTTTTAAATAATTTGAGCTTGAGTCTGTTTGGTGCAATATTAAGAACTTTCTCCATTCTCTGATATTCAAAATTACTTTGGCAGAGAGAATGTATTAGTGCCCTACTGCTGCCATAACAAGTGACCTCAAATTAAGTGGCTTAAACAACATGGAACTCTTACAGTTCAGAGGTTAGAGGTCTCAGTGGGGTTCTAGAGAAGACTTGCCTCTTTAGGACCGTCCTGTCTTCTAGAGCCCACTTTCCTTACATTGCTTGTGGTGCTTTCCTACATGTTCAAAATTAGCAGCCGCATAGATTGTTCCCAGGCGGCCATCTATCCCAGCCTTTCTCATTGCTGTTAGTTCAGCCGGAAAATAGTCTTGATTTTTAAGAATTTGTGTGAGTAAACCGAGACAACAAGAAAAACCCACACTACTCTCCACAGTTCAAGGTCCGAAGCTTGAGTGACATCTGAAAAGTCCATGCTCTCCGGGGACCTTGGGAGAGAGTTGAAGGGGTCGGAAGAGGCAGGGAGGAAGCAGAGAGTAATGTAGAGTTCAATAATAAAAAAAAAAAAGTCCATGCTCTCATGCAAGATATACTCAGAGCAGGTTGAGATCTGGGCTTTGCAGAGTCATGGGCAAGCTCACCACAGCCAGTCTTTGAGGGTGTGTCTCCACACCAGTGTTTGGGAGGTCAACAGCACCTTTGCTCCCAGGGCTCTCCATGGTTTTAAAGTCATGCACACAATAGCTTAAAAACTTACAGATGTTCCCAATGTATGCATTTATATCTAAACAGCAATACAATTAGTCTCCTCTTTAAAGGTTCATTTAGCGTGTATTTGTGCATGTGCAATTTTTTTATTTTTTCATATTGCTGTCCAATCTTGTATATGATATACGTGCATGC